ATCACGCCTTGGTAAAGGACGTACGGCGGTTCGAGGACACATGGGGCTGGAGTGCCTAAACTAGAAGTTATCTGCAAAGCTTCGTTATCGTCTGTAGTACTTGAACTTTTTGTTGAAGCCTCTCTGGTGCACGGAGCCTTGATTAAACTCTGCTGTGGAAGTCAAGGCCTTCTCATTCGTCAAAACATCTGCGGACTTAAAATAATGGCTTCATTTCCGTGCATAAATACAGCTGACACTGAACTACAGGGAGATAACAGGTGTGTTTTTGGGTTTCTTTGTGGATTTATTGTCCACGTTTCCCAGTGTTTCAGGGAAACTTGGGGAACATGGTGTACATTAGAATGAATGATGACTGTGAATTCATGGCAGCAGGCCTGATCCTGGAACAGCTTCAGGCTAAGTGATGATGGTGATGATGCACTGATACTTAAGGTGTGGTTTTGTAATTTAATGAGCTCGACTGTTTGTTCTTCTGGTTACGTTCTGATGGTTGCACTCATTTCCCGAGAGCTATGTGTCATTCACTTCTGCCCTGCCTCGGAATTTCCACTTCCTCTTCATTGGGCACCAGTCTGACACTACGTGTGAAGAATTCATGAACCTATGAGACAGACGTGTAGCTCTGGGGCCAAGCCGCCCTGATTTTACACAACGAGTCATCCCTTTTGGTTGAGTAGGAATTATAGTTGCTGGCCTCGGTGTGCTAAGTTACTCTCTTCCAGATAAACTTGGAAAGGGGACCATGTTTTTCTCTAGTTTATGGTCAGTATACTTTCTGAAAGCAGCATGTTATTATATGACATTTGCTTGTCTTATGGGGTTTTATTTTTTTTTGGTCACATTTTCTGGTTTAGGGCACACACTGCAAAGGAAGCTTAAAAACGTCACTAGCAGTAGTGCATGTAAGGGGCGACTGGGCCTCATTAGAGCTGCAAGGCTGCGGGCCAGATTGCCGCTTTAACTTAAAGGGCCAGCGGCGGCAACGGTTGTTGATAGCGTGCTGGATTCAGCAGTGAGTATTGTCATCTGTCTTTTTGCTTCTTTTGTGTCTTTGTACTCAAAGCAGCGGTGTGGTGTGGAAGAAAACGACAGTGAGGCAGGGCCTGTGTTTGCCCAGACCAGACAGAAACTAAGATTTCTTCCTCTTTTGTAGTTCCATTGTCTGTCAGTTTGTTTTTTTTCTTTCCCCTCTTCCTTGGAATACAGCCTCCACTCTGCCTGGTCTTATTCCAGCCTCTGCTACCAAAAGACATCCAGGTGTTCAGCACTGTCTGGGACACTGATATATGCCCTGGCGTTGACATGGAATGCTAGCGTGGTAGCGGAGGACAGTACTGCAACCAGTTAAACTGTTAACGCAAAGCTCGTCGCATAGGTTCAGACACGTTTCCGGTGTTACTGAGAACGTGATGCCTCTGGCTATTATTGCCTAGTCAGATGTAGGGCTGGGAAATGATCACATCAATATATTGTGCATGCGTGAAAATCACCAGGGTTTGACTGGTGAAACATTTGGCCAGACGCCAGCCTTTCAGTGCTATATTGATATTTACGCCCACAATTTAAGCAAATTAGCAGTGCACCTAAAATATTAATGAGGCATTTTATCACACCCAAAAGTTAGTAATCAGTATAAATTCAGCATACCCTTATGTTTAATAAACATGTTGGACTTTAAACTGCTAAAAGTACTGCCACACCACCGATGTTGTTTTACCTTATTTATCCTCCTTTAAAAGATGTCATGGCTGCTGAGCTGTTCCTTTCTTCACCGACACTTCAGTGCATGTCGCATATCTCACCGAAGTAT